AACTTGGAGGATACACATGGAGCAGAGAAATGTGTGAAGCACACACTTGCTTCTCAGCTTTGGACTTTACACCGGGGACCTTGGAAGACATGGAAGGAGACATGTGGAGTGGAGACCTGTAGAGACACTTGAAAGAGATGTGGGTGAGAGACCCATGGAGAGGCTGATAGTGGCAGCCATCAGCTTGATTTGTATTTTGACCTTATTCCTTTTGTCCCAGACTTGCCTGGCCCCTTCTGCCCCTTTCCTGTGGTTTCCTGCCAAAGGTGCCTTAGACTTGTGGTAGGTTTTTGGGCCCCAGTGGCCCCACTTCAGACCAACCCTGTTTGGCAGGGCATTTATTTACTCCTGAGGGGGATGGGTAACTTTGGATGTTTCACTGGAAAACTTTTATCCCTTCTCTTTTCTATGCATAGTAATTCCATTAAAGTTCTTTTCTATTAAAGTCTTATGCACTAAGAGTATGCTTTTCTTTATGCAACAGACGGTAGAATTCCTTAGAGCATACAGGTATGAGGAGACCAGGGTACTCCTCAGTCTGCCTGCTAACAACTTGACTGAGTTCCCATAGCAATTAAGTAGAGGGATTAAAACAAGAACTAAACTGAGTTGATCTGCAGTTATTTAGCTTTACCTCTTTTTTCTATTGTCCCTCCTGACCTCCCTTTCTTTCTTCCTCCGTTTCCTTCTTCTTCTCTTTCTCTCTTCCTTCCTCCCTCTCTCCCCACCTCCGTTCCTTCCTCCCTTCCTCTTCTTCCTTTTATATAAAGGAACTTCACTATTTAATTTCTTCTCCATGTTACAGAAAATTTCTAATTTTCTCACTTGAATCATTACCTTTGAATTAGAGCTCAGGGCCAGACCCAAGCACAGATTGTTCATTTAGACAGTGAGCATCGAGCAACCTGTTCCTGCTTTCCTTTCGTTCCCTTTACGTCTCCCACATGCTTAATACTTTCTTCAATTTTTTGAAAATGCAGAAGATCACTTTTGTGTACTCTCTCCGACCTTTTCTTAGAGCAAAGAGAACCTTAACTTGATAATATGGGGGTGGTGGGGGAAGACCAGACAGTGGTGTGGAAAGTAACTGCCCTCACCCTGGGTGCAATCCAAGGATTGCTAGTATTCTGAGGAGAGACTGCAGATTATGCTTACTAAATGGAAGGATTGCCGAGACACATGCCTGAGGCTGAGGAAGACAATGGGAATTAAGCTATTACAGTGAGTAGAGTGGTATTCACTGTCTAAGGCTGAATACAAGAAATAAGAGCAACTATTTCTCAGGTCAATGTGTGGAGTGGTACTAGAGCTGAGGCTGCTTTTAAATACTCTTTTCAATTTTAACCTGCAAATCTTTAGGTTCTTTGTATTAGTTAGGAAATGAGAAGGCAGCTGGAGTGATTTGGATATTGTTTCAAAGGTCGATCTTGATTTGCCTTCTATACCTTTTCCCTTCCTCCCTCACTGCCATTAGCATTGAAATAAAGAAGAACAATGTAGGAAACTTCCTTGAGGCAGTTTAAGGAGAGAGAGTAAGGCCCCGGGACTGCTTTTTAGAGATCTGTAGCTTAAACTCAGTCTGACCACAAAAAAAAAAAAAAAAAAAAAAAAAAAAAAAAAGACTGAATTTCTTAGACCCTCGGAGAGTTTATCTGTGAAATGGAGGGGATGATACAAGATGATTTTTCATGATCCCAGATGCTGTAAACATACATATGTCTCAGATCTGCCAGCATTAACTGGAAGCATTGGGAATCTATTCAGTTCAGTGATATTATATCTTGGAAATATCAGATGAGAGTTCAAGAATGCTTTCCTTTTAAGAAGGCTGTAACATTTACGAGATTTATTCAGACCCTATTGGGATAACTGATTTCATTTTAAAGGCGCTAATAACATTTTATTTAAGAACAATAAAATCAATTTACATATATAAAACATGTAATGCTTAAACATTTCCCTAAAGTGTGTTTTAGTCCAAACCTTGCTAATTTATGGGAACCAATGGACAAAACTTAACACTGAAATAACTAAACTGATGTTGTCTGATCTAGTTTTAGTCTTCCAGTTTCAGAATTCTTAGAATGGAAAATCACGTTTGAATAATGTGCTTACACTTGATAAAAGATGAAACAAAACAGAACAGACAAAATATATAAAATAAAACTATAACATAAAATTGCAACCATATAACTAAGAAGATACTAGTGCTTTTAGCCTTTTTTAAAAAAATGCTAGGAAACATTGTTAGTGGTTGTGCTTTCCTTATTTAGCTGGGTTAATCTCTTAGCTGCTAAGGGCAGATTGATTTGTTTATAAACTTGTTAAACCAAATTTGCACACAACCACATCACAGATAATAAAGTGGGAAAAGACCACTCAAATCGTCAGTCTGCATCCACTCACCACCTTAGTCTTATTAATGTCTAATTTAACTTTTTAAGCAATGTATTCCACATTGCCTGTTTTGCACATTGTATTTTTAAGTGGTGTGCTGACGATGCTTGTTAACCATGTGTGGGGGTGTGGCTGAAAGACCTGATGTGTGACCAGAATTCCTTTTCCAATGACACCCCCAGGCTGGGCTACTGTCAGTGAGTCATTCTCGCTGTGTTGACACTGGAGCCCCCATGTGCAGTCTGATGAGTTGAGATGGTCTGGCAGATGCCAAGCATGTTTATTCCATATTGATTCCACTAGTATGTGGGAGGAGCATATGCCATTCTTGGATTACTGACAATTAAAAACTTTCCCTTGATATCTGCCTGTTTTCAAAAGTTCCTTAATTATATAATAAATAGAGCCAGAACATTCCAGTTCTGGCTACCTAATGGACTCTCCACCTTCATCATGTATTGTTATCACATGAAATTATCAAACAGGTGAGAATTAAGATTTCTTAATGAGTCATATTTAGTTCTCTGGAAGTTTATAGAGCAGATGAAATGACTTTTTTTTAAACAGGTGATAACATTAATCTAAGTATGGAGAAGATTTATCAATTATAGCAGACACAATGTAGGAAGGTAGAAATGTGATTTTCTTTTATGAAATCTGTCTGTTTTACTCTCTAGAGGAAGAGATAACTTAATTTCTCCCAGTCCAGTACCCTTAGTTTGATCCAGTGATTTTTTCAGTCAAACTTAAATATCATGGGGTGTCTGGAAGGAGTTCTTTCCACTCACCTCATCTGGGAGCAAGGGGAGGAGTCACCTACATTCCTGGCAGCAGCACTGGGACTTGACTGACCTATTTTCTGTCCTGCTGGCCCTGCTCTCTTGTCCTATAGTGCCCCGCTTACCTAGTCCCAGAAGTGACTCATTTTTTTTTAGCATTCTGCTTATTCCTGTAGCTGATGCTTGTGTACCTCTGATGCTCTCTGCACTTCTGCATTTCCCACTAGAGCTCAGAGAGATGTCTGGTTTCTTTCTTCACACCTCAGTGGACTATGTGAACTCCATTGGGATGGACCTCCAGCCCACCCACAAGCACCTCCCTCAGTGGTGGGGAATGTATTTCTGACTCCTGCTCTCCTTGGATGCTGAGCCTTTCCAAATGCAGGCAGCCTTTCTCTGCAAAGCTATAACAGGTCCCATCACCGCTCAGGAAAACAGAGGATCAATAATGGCTCTGCAGCTTCCCTTAAATCTATTGAGCTGCCCTCAAGCCTACATCATGTCTCTCAGCGACATACCTATCTGCCCTGGAGATTTGTTGCCTAGGTCTGGAGAAAGTGACCCCTCCTATCTGAGTCTGTCTTTTCCCCTTGTTCTTGTTGTTTCTTCCAGCAGATAGGAGTTTTCAGTTTCTCTCTTCTAGGAACTGACTCTGGGTCATATCTCTTTCTGTTCTATTCTGGGACATTTACCTATTGATCCTTCTTTTGGATTTGACTTTATATGCAAAATGCAGAAGTTTCAGTAAAACCTTTTCTTGCCCAGGAAAGCCTGTCTTCCTGGTAAATAAAAAGCCTTGGCATCGAGGCGGTAGTCTTGCTCTGGATGTAAAATCTCATATTGTGAAAATGTGAGCTGATGGATGACCAGTGTTCTTGGCTGTGTGTTGTCTTTTCCTAAGGAAATGAACTCCAGTGAATTAAGAGAGTATGGGGAGGTTGGGGGCACTATAGGAAAAAGAAGATTTAAAGTTTACCAGGAAAGAAACTACCTTGGTTTAATATCACAAAAATACTATACCCATTATGTCAAGATCGTCTCTACATCAGCGTTTTCACTATGGAGATTTTTCAGATGGATCTGATGAAAGGAAATTAAGTTCACATTTGGTTTTCTGTTAATGGATAGAGTATGTTGTTCAAAAGAAGAATCCCTTTAGTTTTCCTTACTGTGCTTTATTCAGCCTTTTTATTTTATAATTTAGTCTTACATTATAAACTGAATCTTTTTTTTTAAACATTTTTAAAAAAAGATTTATTTATTTATACCAGCACTGGGTACAGTCAGAAGCGTGGGAGGGTGAGAGAATTCACCAGAGCCATAGCGGGGAGCAGAGCAGGCAGACTGACGAAGTACAACTTTATAACTACTACTGTATCAAGAAATAGAACTTTGTCAGTGTAGGGTAAGGTAAAAGGTATCAGGCTTTTCTGCCCTCCTGCCATCAGGATAGATGAGGGAACCCTGTGATCCTGAATGCATGCCTGATGGCGGGCACCTGAAGTGGGTACACCTGCGCTAAGACTGTGCTTTTTAAGGAAAGCGTCACGGGGACACCAGAAGCCGAGAAAGCAGCAGCAGAAGCCGAAGCAGAGTGAAAGAGAAGCCGAGAAGCAGCAGAACAAACGCCAGAGAGCCCAGATAGAGTGAAGACTTGCTGGGGGGCCTCCCAGCCCCCCAGCCAGCACCCCTGCCTGGCATATGCCTGGTGAACCCCAATAAAAGACCTGCAAAAAACCACTGAGGACTCTGACTCCTCCTTTACCCGGTCTGCATGGGATCAGAAAACCTGCACTGTGGCCTGTCCTGCCCCTACAGTCAGCTACTTACTTTTTATTGTCAGGTAAGGGAGAAATAACCTTTTACTTTATTAGATTCCTATATTAGTTACCTAGAGCTACCATCACAAAAAATGGAAGATTTAAAATAATGGAAATGTATGCCTTTTGGAGGCTAAAAGTCCAAACTCAAGGCATTGGCAGGGCTGTGCTTTTTCTGAAACCTGGCGGAAGGTACCATTCCCTGCCTCTTCCTAGTTTCAGGTAATGATAATCAGTCTTTGATGTTTGTTGACTAGCAGCTGTCACTCAGATTTCTGCCTCTGTTGTCACATGCCAATTTCCCTGAATGTGAATCTCTCTTCTCTCTTATGAGGTCAATAGTGACATCAAATAAGGGTATGTTCTCCTTATATGACCCTATCTTATTAATATTTTAATTACATTACAAATGTAATTAAATAGGGCCCATACTCAGACCCTATTTCTATCTAAGGTAACATTCACAGTTAGTCCAAAGGCTATGACTCCAACTTTGCCAGACACAATTCAATTTATAAAAAATTATTATACATATAGGAGGGGTATTTATTTATTATTGAAACTCATTGGACTATAACCATATCAGTGGTGTGCTGCCCTTGAATAATTTTAGGAAATTTATTTTCCACACTTTTGTGCTTTGCCTGTTATGTTTCAGAATTATAAGTGTGTATGTGCATATTAAACAATTTACTCACCTGAAAGGATCTGCAATCTTTCTAGAACTCATGTCTCAGCCCATGGAGGGCTAGAGGGAAGCCAGATATGATACTGGAGAGGTGAGAAATACAGCCATCTCAATGGACAGATGTTGTACTTGATCATTGTTCTACCTGCTGCTCATGTGGGCTGCTTAGCTATGTTTCTACTCAATTCCTCCAGTATGAACTCTTTCCAGGAGGCTTATTAGTCAAATATACTATTGGCTGAACACCTCCTTTTCCCATGGCCCTTCGGTTACCATCCCAACAGACATGATTGTGCATGTTTAATCCTAACCCGAACACAGCAGATACCCCTGCTTCATGTCCTTCTACTTAAAGCTATAAAGGCTGTTAAAGACAAATGGTAATTAGAACCTCACCTTCGTCTCCAGGTGAAGCTTAACAGAAGCAACTGGCTTAGAGGATCCTGTCAGGAATCTGACTTAGATGATTTCCTTCAAACCAAAATTTTGAACCAAATGTCCAAGCCAAGGTAAGTCAAAAGGTGAAAACTCTTTATGGTACACATTGACAGCCACTGCCTGGTAACCTCATTATTTAAGTTATTAAAACATTAATTTGTTACTCTGTGCATAACTAAAGTTAAAATGTGGCAATCAGTGAATTTGGGAAAGGCAGTGTTGTGTGTGTCTGCTTAATCATTAATGTTTCTCTCATTTATGTGAGTAAAGTGCATTTATTCTTGCACTGATGCAGCGCAGAAGTGTTTCCCAGTCTTCACACACTAACAAGACAGCCCTCTTTCTCCTGCCTTAGACATGTGTTTCCAGGTAGATTTGCTGATTTCTAATCAGTCAGCTGAGATACTCACTCTAACTTCAGTCTCCAGCCTTTTCTGGAAGAACTCCAGCCTGGGAGAATCTAAACATATCATTCAGAGGCCTGTGATGTTGGAAAGAAAGAAGGTTTTGGATGATTTTTGTTTTTGTTTGGACTTGGGTCAGTGCCTCCCATTTACAGCTGGAATGTTCACTGGATGGTTTCAAATGTGTTTTGGAAAACTGATGTGAGCCTAATGGAAATCAGCTACACTGGGGCCTCAGAAGACTCTAGGAGCAGGTTATCATGTTAATGAATGCATTTCTCTTTATCCGTGAAGACTGATGCTGAACAATGAGACCATGGCACCTCCATCACCCCCGCACACACACACTGGCACCCTCAACTGTCCCAAACAGTCTGCACAGTCAAAACTCATGCCGTGGTAAGCTCATCTCAGTGGCTTTCTCATCATGCTTTGATCAGAATAAAATGGTTCACTTGGAGGATTTCAAGTAAAAATCCAAGAAACAAACTATTCCTGTACGTGACACAAATGACATATTGAAATAGAACTATAGGGGGCCATGGCCTCCAAAAGACAGTGCCCAACAGAGGACAGTCACTGTGAATTCTTCACCTCTGCACACAATCCAGAAACACTCAGGCTCAGGGAACAACAGTAGTGTTATTTACTTAACAAATGGGGGAAACAAGGTATTCTCAAGGCTACAAGTGGCCAGCTCTCTCAGCCCAGATAATGTCCACAGTGTTCAAAAATCATGAACAAAAGCCTCTCATGCAAGATGGTGGTGGACTGCCAATGAGTGTGTGGAGCTCGTGGGACACCGGCAGTCCTCAGGCCAGAGTCCAACTCACCACAGCTGGAAGCACTCACAAGAGGGCTGCTGAGATGATCCTGCAGCAGCTCACAGGCAGTCTGAAGGTTGGATGGATGGCACTGGAGGTCTGACTAGACAGCAGGGGAGGCAGCAGCACTGGAAGGTGCTGTCAGACGATCAGGAGCTCTCAGAGTTTCCCCGACACAGAGTACTGGTCACCTGCCAACAGCACTGGCCAACGGTCCTGGCCACCTGGTCATTAGCATCACAGCTCCTTGTGAGTTGTTGGCCCACACCAATAACAAACCGCTCTCCGAGACACCTGCCCCAGGGCCTTTGGTGTTCCTTCCAGGCGATGCCAGAGGTAGGCTGGAGGCAGGCAGCAGCACCGGCCTCTGCAAAGCTCTTTGTCTTCTCTGTGAGCTTTCAGATTCTCTTCTTCCTTCTGAGGTTGGCTGCTGGATGTGTCTGAGAGCATCCAGTCTGAGTGAGCAAGTGTCCAGTCTGGGTGAGTAAGTTGAGTAGTTGAGTCTGAGTAGTACAGGAGTACAACCCCCAAGCTAGCCGAGCAGGTGTACCTCAGAGAGTGTGGGAGGCCAGCCATCCCAAGCTGGTTTCTCTCCTACCTCATGTCCTCTTTCAAAGTCGCCCCAACTACAAGTCTGGTTGGACTAGTTTCAATCCTATGGCTATTGGACCATTTACCAATTGACTCACTGCTCACACTGACTGGTTCATTCCATGAGCCGGGCACTAAGTCTGCTGCCTCTCTACTGCCTGCCCCTGGAGGTTGCCATAGCGTTGGAGCCTTCCCTGTGGGTCCCCTGGGCTGCATGCCCTGGGGTGGCATGGTAGGGCAACTACTACTGCCTGCCATCACTCCTGGCCTCTTCCTGCAGCCTGAGCCCCAGTGGGGCCACTGGTGGCAGCCAGTAAAATGCCCATTACCTGCTGCCACTTGCACTGTCTGCAAGCAGTGCTCTGGGGCCAAGCACTGGATCCCAGAGTGGGGGAGTCTCTGGTTTCAATATCATTGGGGAATGGACAGAAAATGGTCCCAATGGATTGAGATACAGGAAAATATGCTAACTGATCATATAAGCCACCATTGAGAATTACCATCCCACCATTTTCCAATGAGGAAAAGATGTCTTATAAAAGTACAAATCACTCTCACTTAGTATTTTATGGAAGGGGCAGGAGTTGCACTCCAGTGATGAGGTCACTACTTCTATACCGTCACATACACCCCTTTTACCTTTTAATCCTCTGGTGTGACTTTCTGCCTTCTTGAAAGAAAACACAGGATCTAAGCAAGAAGGTAAATAGTTATTCTAGAGCCTAAAAAACAAACAAATAAAAAAAAAAAAACCCATCAAACCAAAACCATAAAGGGATTCATCATCGACATTTAGGTAATATGAGATTGCACATAACATCTGCACTGCTTACACTTCTTGTAAAACAGGCACCTGCATTGGCCCCGATTTCTGCACAGCAGCAGTATCCTGGAGCTGCGTAGACGGAGCCCTCTTCAGAGGGGAACACGTGCCTTTCCAAATATAGGCCAGCTTTGCTCATCGGCATGACCTGCTTGTCCTCCTGGGCATTTGAATTTGCAGTGCATGATCTAGAGGAAAGCAAGCTTCAATAGTCTTTATTTTCTTCCTTGAGATTTCTTTTTTAATTGGAAATGAGCCTCAGTCAGAGAAGTGAAAATATGTAAATAAGTGGATTTCCCTAGAGCCATAACCTAAGCACATTTGACATAACGACTCAGCATTACCCACGTCTGAAAGTCTGACTGAAAGGCCAGAATTAGGTAGGCAGTTCGTATTTAGTTTCTATAGATACATTCCAAGGAGAGATGTTTCCCAGGGAAGGCCAACACTGTGGGTATTGACTGCCTGGAGCAGTTTGTAAAGCTGCAACTATGGCTTCAAAGGAGCCTGCTTCCCATGCTATGGTAAAACATGTGGTCACCTGGCCAGGGAAGAAAGTCTCTGAGTCTTGTAATACTACACAGGATAAGAAAAATGGAATGCTTTTGGATTGAGTTAAACCTTGTTCTCCCTTCAACTTCTGCCCAGAGGACATGGTAACCTCAGAGGAGCTCTTGCTTCCTCTCCCAAGACTTTGCCCATCTTTCAGGTTCCACTTGGTTGTAGGCTAATTAGAATTTTTGTTATTTTGAAAATACAATCAGAGAAAAGTATAAAACCATAGTAAGTAAAATACAACCTCTTTTCTGGTTTTTTAATACTAAATAGGAAGTATTTTCTATACACATTTGTGTGTTTCTGTGTTTCTGACTCTTTAATGCTCCACCTTCCCATGATTTCTATTCTCTTGCAATTTATTTTATATGTTCTTTTTCCAGGAATCCATCCATCTTATTAGATTTTTTTCTTTCTTCCTTCTCTTTCCCCCCTTCACTGCTGGTGTATTTTCCTTTTATTCTAGAATCTGTGTTTAATTTTCCAGCCCTCTACTTTTATTCTTATTTTCCTTTTGTCAGGCTGGTCTCTTTTATTTTCTTTCTATTGTTGTTTCATTTGCTCCCTCTCCGTGTCCCCCTCCATGTGCTATTGTACATGGTCTGCTTATTCCTCTTTAGTTTGTTTTATTCTCTTACCACGTATTCATGCCTCCTGCCTAAAAACAAAGAGAAACACAAAACTGATTCTTGCTTTTTGTTAAGTGTAGCTATCTCCCTAATTTCTTTGCACTAACTCCACACTAAGCCACTGTTTTACTACTCTAAATCTCATTTTAACATAAACTTTCCAATTTTATATGGAAAATGGAAGATTTATTTTTTTTAAATAAATGTTCTTTCCATGTGAAAGCTGGTGTGTGATAATTCTGGCTAGAAGTCATTACGCTGCGTACTGATCCTATTCTTTTTCTTTGCAAGCTAAGTGTCTCTGAATCTCTGTTTCTTCACCTGTTAAAGTGAAGGGGAAGGAAATTATTGGTTACTCAAAGTCTACTCCAGAGACCTGTCATGCTGGAGTCAGCTGAGCTCCTGTTAAAACTAATCAAATTCAGGTTTCCCTTAGCACTACTCCCTGCCTGTTTACTATGTGCTCATCAAAGTTTGAGAAGCACAATGTAGGTGCTCTCCAAGGTTTTTCTCAACATTAACTTTGCTGAAAATAAGTGAAAGCTTATGAAAAATCAATGAAAGTAATGCAAAAATAAAGCAAAAGCTAGCTTGCTCAGTAGATCACACAAGCCTCTGATGAAATCAATGCCCTGGGTCCCCTCTCAGATGAACTAATTCAGAATGGTGTGTTTCCATGTCCTAGGTGACTGGAATGACTGGGGCTGAGAACCACTGAGGTGTCCTGCTGCCTCTTTTACCTCCTTTTCTGACATTATCACTGCTGCCCTTGTGGATGTGAGGTGAGTAATTACTGTGGAAACAACGAAACTCCAAATTATTTGTTTTTACTTAAACCCACCAAAAATTGTTTCAGGAAGTTAAGGAGAAGCATCGAAGGGGATGATATGTATTTTTAAAAAATATTTTATTTTATATAATTCTTACATCATTTTTCATTTTTGCGCAATGTATGCATTTTCATTTTGGTTATATTCCCCATACAATTGCACACCCCCCCCCCTTTATTTTGGCCCTAATGGGAGCAATAAGCAAGATGAATTGGTTTTTTTCCTCATGTTGTATTCAGATTCTTGCTGAGAGGGGGAGTATTTGTGGTAGCAAGCGGAAGCAACCCCCTATAGCGAATGGTAGATAAGACATGTATCCCAAGAGGCCTGGCGTGCCTGGGGTGGATATTCCAGAGAATTTTTGTTTTATCCTAATTTGGTGCTAGTGTCATCGGGGTGAACACAGTTAGCCACGTGCTCTGATTGGGTTCCAACTTAATTTTAATTATTGCAGTTTGTTGAACTGTAGCTAGTTTAAGAAAAATGAAACCCACAGAATATCTTCTTTACACTTTCAGTGTAGTATCCTTAGTGTGAAATCTGGGGAAGGGATAGTCATAAAACAGTTGTCACGAGAGTGGAAGGTGTGACAAAATGATTATAAGGAAATTCTTTTATGTTGTAGTTTTTCACTTCAGACCTGGAGAAACTGCAAGTATTAACTTTACCTTCTGTTAAGATTCATTTTTTTCCTCCTGCGTGCAATGAGAAACACAGCAAATGATTACATTTTTGGAGTGATTGCATTATTTGATCAAAATAAAGAAATAGTGTTTTCTTTAAACATGTTTTGCTCAGTAAAACACCTTTTCCCCTGCAGTCTTCATGTCCTGAGAGTTCTGCATCATTGAATTTAACTGAGGAGCCAAAATTCTGTCATTATGTGGGGGAGTGGGTTCTGAGGTGTCACTTCCATGAAGGGAGATTTATAATAAAGTGTCATTTTGCTATTTTTTCCAGGTTTTTAAAAATAATAATTAGTTTTTAATTGAGGCAATTTTGGGATACCCCCACTAGGTGTGGACTGTTCTTGAGTGTTACTCCAATAAGTTATATGAGCAGAGAAATGCCCATCATGTTGGACATCTGTCTTTCCCATTGGTGACAGAAGCCCCACCCAGAACCCCTTTAGACAGAAGCCCCACCCCTTTAGTCAAGGTTGGGCCATGGTTGTTACCTGATTCTTACCTTCACATACTGCTCAGAATCACATGAAGATTCAACAAATATGTTTTCACAAATTTTTTGTAGCCCTGTCCAAAAACTTTGATGTAGGAAACTTTCTCATTTATTGCATTCTTACTTTCTTACTGAAACACTTCTCCATGTTGTTGCAACTATTTTGTGTCCCTTCTGCCCTCATCTTTGCCCTACTAACAGCTCTTATGTACACATGGAATCTTTGCAAAACTCTTACTGACTTTTTTCCTGGCTGAAGAAATCCTAAACTGACATAATTTTGCTTATTAGTAAAATATCTTACTTTTACATTGTTTGATACATCTCAGCTTTCTTGATTCTTTTGTAAAGGGAGGTTGAATAGCTTGCTACTAAAAACTTCATGGAAGCTTTCTAGCGTGGTTATTTTATTTGATTTTAGGAGGAAAATCCAGAGTACATTCTGAATTTCACCCCTCCTACTTAAAGAAAACAAGCCTACTTTCCAAAACTAAATAAACACGTCAAGTATTACCATTTCCTTAGAACTTTTAAAATAGGAAGTGTATTTCCCAGGGTTCTATTTAGTTCAGGGCTACTAAGGGCAATACTAGGAGGTTGGTTGAGGAGTGGGCAGATCAGATAAATGACCCAAGCTTGGAGATTAAGCAGATCAGAGATATGCCTTTTCCTAACTTTAATCCTTATGGTATTTTGTGTCTTTCTAAATCCATGCCGGTCTCTGAAACTATAGTGTCAGTGGGGATATTTTTTCTGATGTTAGAATTTTTATCTGCATTAAAAAAAAAGTAGCAGTGGCTACACTTTACCTTCGATTTTTTTTTTTTTTTTACACTAAGACTGACTTTGTAAACATTGCCTTTTTATGGGACTCAAATGTTTTTCATTCTGAATTATTGGCACCTTCTAAATTCATATTTATGACTTTGGGATCAATCTATATGTCAACAGATAGCTTGAACCAATGATCTGGACCCACAAACTCCAATGGCATTTAATGTAACTTCCAGTGCTCTTTTTTTCCTGAGGCTGCCACTGAACTGTAGTATAACTACTTCATTTAATAAAAAGTCCAGCCTTAGGAAAATTCTCATATCCTTGTTAATGCTGTGGAAAATTTAAAGAAAAACAGAAGCAGCAGTGGAACTAGTTAGAATATGATTTCTTCTGAGAATATTTGCACAGTGCTGTGGGTTAATGAAAACTTTAGTCACTACTCCAGTGTACAAGGTTTCCCACTGAGCAGAGGATTTTCCCACTATTTGCAGACTTAGATGGAAATGAGAAAAAAATGGGCCCCAAATTTGAAACAACTTATTTCTAGCTAGTTGTTAGATTCAATTATTTGAGTTACCTGAATTGTTGGCGCAAGAGCTCGTGGAGAAGAAGGTGAGCATTCTGACTCACAACATCCCTGAATCAGAGTCCTGCTTGAGTAAGGAACATAACAGATGTGTCAGGATGATCTGTCCTTGCTCTGGAGTCTTTTCCACTTGGAATAGAAAAGCTGAACTTATAAGTAGAATATAGAGAGATTAAACAAAGGGCTGGGAAAAAGACAAAGCTTCCAAGCTGACCATAGATCTGAGGCATACAGTGGGGGAGAAGGAGGGATCAAAACAGGGGATCAAAGAGCACAAGGGACTGTGGTGAAGATCACGCATGATGTGGTGGTGAAACTACAGGAACTATATCTGAGAGGAAAAATCAAATATTGTACAAAAATTAGCAACGATGTAAAAAAATTGAAATAATAAAAAAAAAAAAAGAAAAGCTAACCTTCCAGGCACTACTTAGTGTTATTTGATGATATTGAAAACATTAATATAAAACTTGACCCTGCATCACCTTCAAAGATAAATTGTCTTATCTTTGAAGTCCTGTGAAACCTTGGGTGATTTAATGGTCCATGCACTACTGTGGTGATTCCTGAGGGGAGCATCCAATGGCACCCAATTCAAAGATTAATTAATTAAAAGAAAAAATTAAGTACTTCTAGTGTTATTGGTGATATGCAAGGAAGTATCTGAAAAAAACATTTTTTTATTTGCCAACTAATAGATAGGATTATTTTGTTCTAGAAAGAGTCCTAAAGGGAGTGGTCCCAAGAGAAATATATTTTGTTGATGGAGTGGGAAGGAGTGTTGACAAAATGGGAGACTGTGAAAAGATGTTAGACTTTGGTAGGGAGTGCAAGAGGGGGGGCCTGGGTAGCCCAGGGTACCTGGAAGAACCAGTTTTTCAAGTGGGCGATTTGTAACCATTTTTCTGCTCTAGAAGTATCACGTTCCATTATCTATAATAACTACTTCCTTATAATACTTCTTGCAGAAGTGGCTCTGAGCTGGGGCATGTGGGATATATATTAGATTTTGGGAAAGGGTGTAATTTGGAAAAATCATTAAAGGTCCTGTTTTAATAAAATAGACATGATGTAATTGTGGGCTTCATTCATACAAAGTAAATTTTCTGAGGTAGCTAAGTCTGTTTTATTGTTGTTTTATAAACATGAAATAGCAGGGAACTCTACCTTACCTTAGAATAAATCTAGATTCTCAATTAGTGAGGTGGTATTTTTCTGTTTTATTTTTTTCCATGGAACTCAGTCTTTTTAACTGTAGGTAGAATCCTTAGAAAGGATAAATAGCACCCTGACTTACTTTTCCTCATTTTCCTAATCTTGTGCTATAAAATTGGTCTCTAATATATGCATGATCAGGGAAAATGTAGAAGGAAGCAGGTGGAGGAGTAGAGATTACCAAGAAGGAGGAAAAATATACAGAAGAGAAGGGAGCTTATAAAATCTGGACAAAGTCAGACAAGGCTGGCAGGAGGTGAACTGGGTAGAAGGAGTTAGGTGTTTGGTATAAGGGTACATAAAGTACGCTGTGAGGTACCACAGTGCCCTCATGAGCTTTATGATTAGCCAATCACCAGTAGGTATTGCTGAGCATCTGCTATGTGGCAGGTATTGTTCTGGGCACCAAAGGTACAGTACTAAATGAGCTGACAGAATTCCTACCTTCAAGGAGCTAACATTCTGGTAAGAGTTCTCTTGCATTTGTTGAGTTTAAATGCCTGTTTATGGCAAAGAAGTATAAATGGGAGCTGCTTCCTATAAAATATATTCTTTGTCTTGGCAAAACATCCTTGAGAAGAGATCAGGACAGTGGGGAGCAAGCACTGAGTAACATTCTCTCCATTTCCACCTTTCTGTTAGGTCATAGATATAAATTACAATTCTGGCCCTCATTCACCCTCACAGAACTCTCTGGCAACCTTTCCCATTCTCTCAACATGAGAGGAATGAGGAGGTTATTTGGAAGGTCGTTGGTCTAAGGAGTTGTCCTGCTACAGTTACCAGGGAATCTTGAATTTCATCTGGAGAGAGTGCAAGGCAGCAGGGCAAGCACACGACGAGGAGTCAATTGGTGAGCAGCCCCCAGAGACGAGAAGCATATGGAAAATCAACTTTCACGAGTTGCTTCTTTAGAAAGAATAGGCTGCAGATGGATTTTAAATCTTAATCTAAATACAAGGTTTGTGTCAGCAGTTGTTTTTGAGAAAACCAAAGGAACTCAGTGTTCCCCTCTGTGACAGAGCCCGGGTGGCCTCAAGCAGCGAAGCGAGGAATTCATTTTGTCTTGTTGCTCAGACACTGATCCTGGAACCCAGCAGAATTTCTGGCCATACAGCTGGCCCTTGGTGTGATGCCGACATGATTAGTTTGTCACTATTCTTTTTCTGGCCCAGAAGAATGTCTGAGAG